TAGTGGGACAGAGGATATCTCAGCATCCCTGCTGGAGTAATCTCGGTCTTCTCCTGCAAGGGCCAGGATCCCCTCCTCATAGGGAGTGAGAAGCCTGATGCCTGATACTCCTCCCATCGTCTGGGTCTTCTCTGTTCTCTTGTCAGCTGTCTTCTCCTGGAATGACAGGAGGCAGGGATTGAGTGTGATGAGAATGAGTGGCATGGCTGTTAGTGCTGGTGCAGTGGGTTGAAAGGTGAAAGGTTCCAGGGAAATAGGCAGGGATGCAGTGCCCATGCAGGGGTGGGTGTTGGGGAGAATGAAAGCAAGTGAGGGAAGATGTTGCAGGAAATAGCGAGTGACAGAGCAGAAGATTTGGTGGGAGGTGGGTGCAGTAGGAGAAGTAGGGTAAGTGTGAGGTGGCAGAGGGTACAGTGTAGCACTTACCCTGGCAGCGTAGGGAAGTTCATTGACCAGCTTGTGGCACTGTTAGCCATTCATCTGACTGTGAAGAGCGTCCTGACCCAGGTGGGAGTGTCAGAGTGCCAAATGCTTGTCTGAGTGCAAATCAGCCTTTTAAAAATGACACAGTCTTTTAACAGGTATCTGGTGAGTTGTTCTGGGAACAGTGCATCATGGGATGGGACTAGAATTTGATAAGGTGCCCTAGGGTTGGCAGAAGTAGTTAATATGGTGAGTTTGATAAGATACATTGCAAGATCTTGCTAGGCATTGCGGAGAGAAACCCTGCAAACAATTCAATGAAACTGACATTCAGCCTAATAAAAAGGTTTCAGCCCAATGAGGATTGTTTTTCTCTCAGAATCTTGTTAGTCTAAAGAATGCTGCTCCCAGAGAGTGGTACAGGCTGACTCATTTAATATCGTTAAGTCTGGAATACTTAGATTCTTAGGCAAGGGAGTAAATAGGAAAATGAAGTTGAGGCTACAATCTGATCAGCCATGACCCCATCAAATATTGGAGAAGGTTCAAGGTTGAATTACCTACACTTCCTAACTTGTCAATATTTTCTAATCAACCTGTCAGCGACATTATGACACACATCTGGAGCAAGTGAGATTTGAACCTGCGTGCCCTAGCTAAGAGGTAGAGAATGCATACAATTTGTAGTCAGCTCAACAGAATTGATTACATTAACAGGCTGCTGTTGTGAAATTACCTGTGGTGTGTTGGCAAACAAAATTTTTACCCCACATGTCCATTTCTTCTGTCGTTATAAATAGCTATATATAGTGCACTCTGTTTTAGTCTGGACCTCTTCTTTATTACTTGAGATCACCGAGGCAGTCAGTAGTCACGTGTTATAAAATCAAGAATTTGATCTTACAAGCAAGAAGTGAAATGACCTTATTTCTTGAAAAGGTATTCAGTTATCAATGCCAATTTACCCCATTATCTCTGTTTTCTGCTCATTGGTACATAATTAGTATGGGAACAGCTTGGGCTGCCTGAGAGATAGCAAGAACTACAGATGCTGGAGTCAGAGTCGACACAGCGTGGAGCTGGAGGAACACAGCAAGTCAGGCAGCATCAGAGGGGCAGGAAAGTCAATATTTCAATCCGAAACGTCAACTTTCCTGTTCCTCTGATGCTGCCTGGCTGACTGTGTTCCTCCAGCTTGAGCTGTCTAACTTGCAACTGTCAGTGTGATACTTCCTTATGGTGATGCCAACCTGTCTTCCTCCACTCGATGTAGGAAACTTCAGCATGGGAAACACTGGGCTAGTGAAGCATGGAAATTTCTTTTGCAACTAAATAATAGATTGTACTGTTATTATAAAATAGAAACCTGCTTCACATCGGCTGTTGAGATCCATTGCTGTAACTAGTAACGAGATAACTTGCTAGCTGTGAAATTAGAAACTAAAGTTCCAGTTTAAGTTGTACTCTAATACTCTGTTAGTCTAAGGATGAGTTTTGCCTTTTTTTTACCTTTTACTTTCAGGAGAAAACATATTTATATAGTACCCTTCACAAACTAAGGATGCCTCAAAGTGCTTCATAGCTAATAAGAGAAACATGTAATATACTTTTTACAAAATGGAGATAGAGCCAAGCTAGGTAATTACAGGACAGTTTAAAATCTACCGTCAGAAATTAATGGAATCTTTAATTAAAGATTAAATAACAAAACATCTAGATAAAAAGAATTGCATACAGCTAAAACTAAATTCAGAAAAGAATATCTTTGAGGAGCTGACAGAGATAATGGGTGAGGGAAATGCAATGAATATGGTACACATAAACCTTCAGGAAATCTTTGACAACATACTTCAGGGGAGATTATTGCATTGGATGTTGGGATACAGCATTAAGTGATGGTCAACAAACTGAATTGAAATCTGTGGAGGAATTAAGTCAGATTTTCCAAGAAGCTGGACTCGGTAGTGTGTCTCACCAAGCTCTATTCGGGAACACTCTGTTCACTGACATATATATGCATGTATATAATATATATAATATATATATGAATGACAAGAGAGAGCAGAATGTATATTAGAGACAATACTGAAAAAGGATCAATGAACACTTGGAGTCATAGAGTCATATAGCACAGAAACAGACCCTTTGGTCCAACTTGTTCATGCCAACCAAATTTCCCAAACTGAACTAATTCCATTTGCCTGTGTTTGGCCCATATCGCTCTAATTCTTTCCTATTCATGTGCCTGTCCAAATAATTTTCAAATGTTGTCACTGTACCTGCATCTACCACTTCCTCTGGCAGTTCAATCCACATAATTATTTCAACTGGCCTTTCCATGGCAAGTTAGGGGTGGAGCAGCCAGGTCGATATTGTGATCGTTGAAGCAACTATGGTATTAGCATTGCACTTAAGGGTTTCTCAATCAATCAAAGCAGGTGTGGGTAATGATGAACCACACTTGTTAATGAGATGATGTCTTTTGAGACAGGTCCTGCCACATGTTAGAGGATTGGAATGGATATATCAAATATTGTCTCACGAAGAATCAAGATGGAAGTGAGGAAGATTCCAGTTCCCTTACTCTTCCCTGGAGATAATGCTGGAGTCAAAGAGGACCTGGAAGGCTTGTTGTTTAATCCAGAAGAGAGGAAAAGACCAGATACAGAATTAAACAGAAACCAAGGTCTCTGCAGTGAACTTTAATTCCTTTTTTATTAGTCTCTATCACATATCACTTTGCTTTGAGATGGGATGGCCCCCAGCACAAAGTGCTACAACAAAGCAGAGCAGGGAAGGCAGATACACAGGTACTACAATGCTCCATGTCAACATTGTAGTAAGAAAAAGCCTCACCAATGCCAAGCTTGCCCAGCTATCAATACAGGGGGCATCTCTGGCTGGGTCAGTATCTGTTGCCTGTGGCTAATTGGTCTTGAGAAGGTGCTGGTGGTGAGCTGCCTTCGTGAACCTCTGCAGCCCATGTCCTGTAGTTGGACTCACAATGCTGCTAGGAAGCGAATTCCAAGATTTTGATTGGGCTGCAGTGAAGGGGCAACAATATATTTCCAAATCAAGAGAGTGAGTGGCTTGGACAGGAACTTGCAGGTGGTGATGTCCTCATGTATCTGCTTCTCCCAAAGTTGTGAAAGGCCTCACATGATTCTGCCAAATTCCTCACCATAGTGCACGCCATTCAGGCTCCCATAAAATTCTATCCTTTGTTTCTTCTTACCCTTCATTAATTAAAGCAATCTTGAAAATTGTATTTGTCTTGAAAGATTCAGAAAGAAATTAATTGTTTTCCTGGTGGTTAGTTTCCTGTCGACAAAACTTCACAGTTGTCTGTGTTCTCAGAAGCTTATGCTGTTTAAAAAGTGAAAAATTCTTTTTCATCCAAATTCTCTTGTTTAAAACTGTTTTCTGGTTGATCTTCAATTAATTTTACAAATATCTGCCATTGAGAAAATTTGAGTCTTTTATATACAGTCACCACCAGCATCATTCTGTGAGGTTGGCTCGAACAGGACTGTCTTACTGATGCAGCAATGCTTGTGTAATCTCTCACAACTTAAGAAACGGAGTGTGGATTTTATGGATTGAAGAATCCAAAAGGTATCATTACAACTAACTTTTATGGACCAACATTACATTCCTCAGGCACATAAAGTGTCCAGGCTAATATAAAGCTACAAATTTACAACACAGGGACATAAACCCAGTAGTGTATCATGCTTCAAGCGGTCAGAGTGAAAAGGGAGAATTAGATCTTTGTAGCCTTGATCACATGCTATGATATAGTGATAATGTCACAAGAATGTCTCATAAAGATATACTGTGTCTCTTAAAAGTATAATGATATATTGTGCAACATAACATAACAGTCTCTAGATGGAATGGCAACCGTGGATCATTCCTGCTCCACCTTAATCCAATATAGTTAGGAAAGCAAGAGATCTCCATTGCTGGACCTTCCTGCCAGATTATACAGACCCCTCCTCCACCATTACACCATGGCCAGGGGAGCATTAATTTTAACTAATTGTACAATTAAGTAGATTTTAAAAATTAGTAAAACATATTTTTGTTCATTTCTTAAAATGGGTATGAAAGAAAACATAATGACTCTGCAGGATTATCACTTTTAATGACATTTTTTGACAGAACATCTATGTAGACGGTTTTCAAAGCAAACTCAATTAAGTAGTCAATGAATGTTAAATTGGAACTGACATTGCCATTAGCATTGGCTCACCATCTGATTGAATTCCATTGTGCTTTCAATTTAAAGTTTCAGATGTATCACAGAAAGTCTTGGACAATATTGGTTCTGAAGTTTCCAAATAGGTTTCTGAATGAATAGTAGTTTCAAAAATAAGTAGGAGGCTTTAGATTTTAATGGGAAATGAAGCAATTACAGCATGCAGCTGGCAAAACTTGGCTTGGTAAAAAGTGCATGACAAAACTAATCTGATTGCCACAGTCACATTAACCTGGCAATGAATATCAGTAACAAGAACCAAGGCCTAGAACCATAAATGTAATTAATCTTTCAGAGTTACAAGTTGCAAGATTACCTTGTATAATGCTGATGTGGAGGCAGATCCAACAACCAGTGCTACTCCAATGATTGAATCACCGTGGAAACCATCTGCATATGCCATCATCACAATCCCAGTAATTGCCATGATTGCAGCAACTATCTGTTGTTCAGGGAAAAGCGAGGGCAAAAGAATTGAAAATGGTTTAGGCAGGCTTTGACAATTCCTGTTAGTTTAACGTGAACAAGTTCACTTTAAATAACAACCACAAAGAACTTTCATCCCAGTTTTTCCAAATGTTCATACAATCCCCATGCAGATGCCAGTTTCAGCTCATGATGTGAATTAACATCACACATGAATGAATCTTACTAATTAGGAAAGCCTATTTCAATTTACAGCTTTAATTTCAATATTTTAAACTTTTGACTGAAAATACATATTTTAAGATTGCACTGCTGCCTATTTTAAGACTGGTCAACTAATACATTCCAACCTCAGGAATGTGCCAGGTGGTAGTAGGAGGGCACAGTGGCTCAGTGGTTAGCACTGTTGTCTCACAGCGCCAGGGACCCTGGTTTGATTACAGCCTGAGGTGACCGTCTGTGTGGAGTTTGCACATTCTCCCCATGTCTGGTTTTCTCTAGGTGCTCCGGTTTCCTCCCACAGTCCAAAGATGTGCAGGTTAGGTCGGTTGGACATGCTAAATTGCCCATAGTGTGTAGGGATGTGCAGACTAGGTGGAGTAACCATGGGAAGTGTAGGGATATAGGGAAGAGATGGGTTTAGATGGAATGTTCAGAGAATCATAGAATCCCTACAGCATGGAAATAGGCCATTTGGCCCAACAAGTCCACACCGCCCCTCCGAACAGTATCCCACCCATACCCATTCCCCTACCCCTGCATTTCCCATATCTAACCCACCTAATCTAAACATTCCTGGGTACTATGGGCAATTTAGCATGACCAATCCACCTACCCTGCAAAAGGGGCAGCACAGTGGCTCAGTGGTTAGCACTGCTGCCTCACAGCGCCAGGGACCCGGGTTTGATTCCACCCTCGGGCAACTCTCTGTCTGGAGTTTGCACATTCTCCCCGTGTCTGCATGGGTTTGCTCCGGTTTCCTCCCACGGTTGCGCATGCTAGGTGGATTGGCCATGCTAAATTACCCGTAGCATTCAGGGATGTGTAGATTAGGTAGGTTATTGGGGAATGGGTCTGGGTGGGATGCTCTGAGGGTTGGTGTGGACTTGTTGGGCCAAAGGGCCTGTTTCCACACTGTAGGGATTCTATCGAAAACATCTTTGGACTGTGGGAGGAAACCCACACAGACATGGGGAG